AATTTCATTTTTCTTAAACATAAAAAAAAAACCAAAGGCAGCATATTATAAATTTGAACAAATATAAATATATTCAACAAAATTACAACAGGCACATTTCTCCATAAACCAACCCACCCTCTCTTTGCACATTATCCAAATAAATAATAATTATAATTAACCCTTCGCGAACGATTATCTTTTTATACAAAGAATTCTCTAATTACACAAGATCAAACGAACTGGCCATACGATTGTTCGAGGAAAGAAGCTTTTTGATTCGTTGATGGTGAAACCGAGTGCGAACGTGTCGACCGTGCTTCGCCGATAAGACGTTGATTAATAAATTACCGTCTGTGTGTCTCACAATCCCGGTACAAACGAATAAACGAAATACCGGAGAGCGACGACCACAAAGGCACGACAGATTTGTAACTCCTCTAGCCGGCATTGAATTTTTCCAAGCAACCATCATCAGTCTATACGCTTTCTTTTTTACAAATAACGGAAATTTAATTATACAATAACGTGACGGAAAACGCATTTCGAAATTCGTCACATCTCTAAGTTTTCCGAAACATTACCGTGACATAAAAATGTATAATACATGTGCGTTGAACGTAAAAAATTGTGTTATAACATTGTAAACGAAATCGAAGACTTGAAGGGATTCGATGCCAGACAGACGTTTAACCCTTTGGGTTTCTAGTTCTACGTACTATGTGTATAGTTTATCGCGTTACGTTTAAATCGTGAAAAAGCTCGCTCTGGTAGCGGGCAGGTAGCTAAAAGAAACCCTGATCAGAAAGGATTAAACGACCCCGCGCAATGGAATTTATTACTCCTAAACATTGTAAAAATTATGAAAAAGGAAGGAATTCAGCGGTTGTGTTTAAAATCGTTTGGCAATGTTGTAAAATACAATATTCGTACAATAATGATCTACGCGGGAACGATTTATTTTCTACGATTAACTTAATAACCTGTTTCCCCTCTTTTTCCCGTCTTCTCAAAAATTTTCTTTCTTTTTACGAAATAAATTACACGGGTTCCCTTGGCAACAAAATATACGCGGTACAATTTTCAAATTCACTCGAGGCATCCAGCAAACGATGCATATTGAACACAGCGGGAAATATCATCAATAAATGTAAAAATACGTTTAGAACAACTAAAATCGCTCACTTGAGTCATCTGTAAAATATGTAGTTATCTATTTCTCGTTCGCTATTTTCATTTTCCGTCCGAGCTAAAAACAATTGTAAAAAATGTTGAACTTAAACGAACGTATTGAACGAAAAGCACCGATCGAATCGCAAATTAATAGGTTCGATCGGTATTCGAGCTGCCGGCTGAACGGAGTTCACGCATCGTACGGTTCTCGAACAGCGATACACACCATAATTATTACCGTGAAAAATAACACGCTGAGGTGACAAAGTGTATCGCCAAAGGAAGTCCAGATCCGGGTTACTTCCATCGACTACCGTCGATCGAATAATAGTCCTACGCGTCACGTCATTACAAATCGACAATATGCGAAAAATCGATGCCCTTGAACGAAACGCCTACGTTTCACTCTTTTTCGCTTTTTGAGGCGACATTAAGAAACACACGATTACAATATAACTAATGGAAAATATTTATCCACGATCAACTTACGATCGTGAACGCGTAAACCTTCTTTACACCGCAATTTCATTTTTTTTCCGTTGACTACTATTGAACAAGAAGACGACACGTGTTTTTTTTCTTTTACCCAAAGGGATTATATTCGTTTGGTTAACTCTTGGGAATATAACAAATGTAACTTGGAAAGCTTCGAATATACGTTGTTTCTCCTTTTTCTATTCCTCCTTTCTGTCTCATATTTTTCTTTCTATCGAGTTTCGTTATTCACGAGCTTTCATTGACCTGTTTTCGTTTTCAATAAACACCGACACCCTTCCCGCAGAATTGGAATACCACTAGCGAACGCTAATTTAGTTATGAACAAATAGAAACATCGAAAAGGCCAACCAATGGGATGTTTGAACGTAGCGATCTATCGTCGGGAGACGGCCAGCAATGAAGTCGAAGTACAGTCCGCACCATTAAATTATGCTTCTTTACAATTAGCTGTTGGTGCTTCGTATAACGCTTGTCGCGATCCTCGGCTGGTGTTCTCAGCCGTCAAACAATCATACGGCACATGCGTAACACGATAGTCAGCAGTGAATAGCACGCGGCTCGAGTCACGGAACTGCGCGATAACAAAAATCTAAGCACTACCACTAGCATTCCAAACTGTACAGCTTTGTGAAGCCAATATAACCTGGAACACACAATCAAATGAGGAAATCAAGTACAAAGCTTCGTACAAAATATCATAGAACAGAACGATCGTGACAGATTAATCGCAAATAAACTGTAGACAGATTACTCACTTTCTAATGTGTGAACGAGCGGCTGGCAGTGTGTCCGGACTCTCCTTCAGGACGAAGTGTCGTATTCCCAATATGTAATGTTCTAAATACGATGGCCAGTCAATTTGTTTGACGTCGAACATGAACGTCTGTCGGTCTTCGGGACTGAGTTGCTCGGCCAAGTGCCGTACGTTGTCGTCCCGGAAGTTCCACTGTTTCGTACTAAAATACTCCAGGCACGTGGCAGCCTTATGGAGTTTCGACTGTATAACGACCATGATGGTCGGTTTGCCCTTTATACGAAGGAAAAAGTCTAAAATGTGCGCCGGTATCAGGTGCTGGAAGAGTATGCACATTTTGTTGATGATGACGGAATTGTGGCATCGGCCACCTGGGTACCAGATGACGTCCTTCGGCGGGTGAATCCGGCTGTACTTGAACACGAGGTCGACGAACTTCTTCCAGGTGATCGGGTTCTGCTGACCCGTGCAGCAGTTGTACACGGGGATCGTCTTCGTGCGATTCGTCGCCGTCCTCCACGCCGCGCAGATCATTAGGTTGATCACTATGTCCACCGGCACCAGGTCCGCTATTTTGTCTTCGTGGCACAGCATGGATCTGTGATTGCAGATGTATTTATTTTTCCTGTGCTACAACAATTTGACAGCAAAATTGCAGAATCCTCGTTGGTTTTACCTGAAAAAACCTTTGCCAGCAGCGGCGATTATTCCAGTTGGCCCGTTCCAATTATCCACCCATCCGGCCACCGGTTCCTTGTGCGACGAAAGCACGATGGATGGTCTGACGATGGCGACTGGCAAATAACCGGACTCCGATTGTAGGAGCCTTTCGGTCAAGGCTTTGGTGAATGTGTACGTGTTCGGCCGGTTGCCGATTAACGTCGGCGTTATATCGTCGACCATTTTCGCATCCATCACTTTTGTCAAAGCGATCACGTGTTCCGGTTCCGCGGACAGCGGATAGATCTCCTCGGCGACGTCTTTGCGATCGCAATTACAATATGCCGTGGAGACATGGATCAGGGCCTTTGCACAGACGAAACGTATATAGAATTTGCATGAATTAATGCATTTAGCAAATTGTACATATAAAGTAGATACATAAAATGTATGTAGAAAGGTTGTTACCTCTAAATTGTGCATCCTATGGCACAAGTTTAACAACTGTTTAGTGCCGACCATGTTAATGGTCACGGACAGCTTGAGGGCTTCGTCGAATTTGACGGTGGCGGCGGAATGGAAAACGACGGACACATCTCGGATCAGCGTGTTTTGATCGGCCTCCGAGATGCCCAATTCCTGCTCGGTCACGTCTCCAGCTATGGGTATCACTTTCGATAACTCGTGCGGAGCGTCTTGTCGTAATTTCTCGAACAGCTGATTAACACAGTATTATATTTGTACAGTAATAACATTGTATTCATAATTATTCAATTTGTGCATTTTATTTACAAAATTAAAGTAATAAATCATACCGGTCCATTCAATAACTCCCGCAACCTCTGCTTGACGTCCTGACCCCTTTTAGGTCTCATCAGCAGGTAGATGTTCTTTATGCCGGGACAAGATCTGAGCAATTTCTCGACAAGAACTTTGCCCATGAAACCGGTACCACCGGTAATGAATATGGACCTATCTCTGTAGAAGTCCTTCACGGACGTGCACTGAACGCCACTTATTGTGCTCATTTTCGCGCGTTCGTCTTCTGGTGTTCTCTTTCTGTATCTTTGGAAAGCACGGAATGATCCTTAATTGCGCCCCTCTCTTCGGACGACCTCTCCAACGGTGACGTTTACAAAGATGTATTCTTTTTCACCTACTTTCTGGAAGCTCCTTAAGATCGCTTACTTTCTTCCTCCTCTCTGTCCCCTCCCTCTTGGGCTTTAGCTTTGGTCTCGATACGGTCTCTGTTACTTGCGTAGTAAACGTGTACGTCACAAATACGTATTTTACATATGTTTATTTATATTTCTATCTGTGTTTTGAGACTGTATAAGTAGCGGCAGACGTAAGACGACTCCCTCAGAGACAAAGAAATCAGGTTTGAGAGTGTTGGAACGAAAACTGGCACAAGTTCACACCGTTCCAGGTTTTTCCAAGCCGGATTCGAATAGATCTAATTTCTACTGGACTCATTTCGTGTCGCCCTGCAATCACAGTCTTTACCCAGCTGAAAACAGAGCAAAAGATACGGAAATTAAGATCGATCGAAGTAAATCCTATTGTCACTCGTTTCTTGTCACGTACAGGATAAATCAGTATGAAATATCGACGTTCACTAGTCATTGAGTTTATTATCTAGCCTGACGAAAAATTAATTTAAAATTATGATAAATTCATTTAACAATCTTCATAACACAATGAGCATGTTTTAATGAAGTTATATCACAAAACGCGTAATAGATTGTTGTCTTAAGGACGTATTGGCTATACAGTCAATCCCAAAAGTGTATGCACTTTAGAAATGCATTTTTTAAAAAGAAATCAGACGTAGGAAGAACATTGCTGATAATAAACAACAAAAAAAATTTTCGATTTTTCCGAGATTTTTCCAAGGGGTACCCCTTCAATTTCTTCCAAATTTTCGTTTTTGGCCAATAACTCCCAAACCGTTGAATTTACGGGAAAATTGTATACAACCTTTCTTGTAGAGGACGATGAGATCTACAATTTCCATGTAAATTTTTTTCGCTAGCGTCAATAGTTAACGAGTAATTTGCAAAAAACTGTTTTTTCGTTTTTCGCTAATAACTCGTAAACTATTAATGCTAGCGAAAAACTTTTAGACAGAAATTGTAGATCTCGTCGTCCTCTACAAGAAAGGTCCTATGCAATTTTCCCGTATCTCCAAGGGTTTAAGAGTTATTGAGGAAAAACAAAATTTTTTTCCAAAAGTACGCCGTTTCGACGCTGGTATGGTCGGATTTTGTCAACATCAATAAAATGCCATATAATCATATGTAACTCATTAAATGTCGAAATTAGAAGGAAAAGAACTTCTATTTGAAGCATTTTTCGCAATTTTGAAAAAGAAATTTTTCGTCAGCGTCAATACTTAATTGGATATTTCCTTCTATACTTTTTAGTACGTAGCTATTTATTATTAGCATTATTCTTCCGACGTCTGATTTCTTTTTAATTACAGGAAATGCGTTTTTCTAGGGTACATAAACTTTTGGGACTGACTGTACAGTCAATACATCGTTAAGTGCTAATTATAAGTGCCGGTAGTGATTTCCATACTGACAACATGATTTTTAAAGAAACAAGCTATTAATTAAGCCCGATTACCATTATGCAAAAAATATGAATAAAGAACTAAAGAGCTACTGTAATGATTTCATAGGCCACGATGAACATAAATTATTAATTCTTTTTTCCTTTCAGAGTTCACAGTAAAAACAAACAACCCGCGAAGTACCGCTTCCCATTTATAAATTCAACAATATTAAACATTTTAGCGATATCGAAGTTAATCCTTCGGTTGCTTTGAAATAACACACAGTCTTGAAACCTGTCTGCATCCATTCAGTTCTGATAATCAATTTTACGGAGGAAAAGAGACACGAAGAAACAGAGAGGAAAAAAGCGCTTATATTTCTGGTTCTCGCGAGCGAATAATAAAAATAAGAAACGGGGTCGGAGTGGATACGAGCCAACAGATCCGGACATTCTTTATTTTGCTCAAATATCAAGTAACAACAGGATGCGGACCTTGACCGTGCACACTTCGTTTTCACAAGCCAAATGTACTTACTTTATAAAACGAACGCATGCATCGCTACAATTTATGATTTAACATATAGAAGGAATTATCGAAGTGCTCCTGGCATTCATTGCTTAGTAACACCATGAAGTACGGAATTAGATATAATCCCTGATAAGCACTGTAATCTAATGACAGCTGGTTGACAGTCATTCAACTGGAATGCAATGTTTCTAATAATTATATTCCAGTTTTTACGTAACTCACGATTCATAAACAAAAGCGTGAAATAAGAATTGAACACAGCAGAGAAAGTGAAAGAAAGCAAAAACGAAGGGAAAAGCAAACAAACATAAACGATAGTTATATCTACCAGACGACCGTGTGAAAATATCAGATTTTTCGAAGTCGGTTTAGGCTTGATTAAAAACACGTTCTTCTATGAATTGCATAAATTCTGGACTCGAACCGAACTTGTATCTCGTACTGTATAAGCGTTTCATGCGAGAAAGGGAAGGCGAGGGAATTATCGTTCGGTGGATTTCCTTATCAGACACACCTTACACGCATACAATCTTCTTTAACGTGTAATATCCCCGCGCTTCGAAGCGTCTATTTGAAAAGTTTGCAATCGAACACTCGCTGCCTTATCTTTTTCAAATTATATAAATCATAAAGGGATAAATTTTATCAAATCTCAAAATGTGCTCTACAAATAAGGAGAAAAATCATATTAATATTATTTAATAATGACACATAGTAAAATTGTAAAACTGTTATTAAGCACCAAATTATTTACTTTGATACAATTTGTTTCATTAAATTTTATTTGCAATTGTAATTGAGAACGTGTAATGAAATGTATGACGTAGCTCTTCTTATTAGAATTGCAAAAGTAACGAAACAAATACTTCAGAATGGCATCAGCAAACATTCATTCATTTGTTTTATTTCTTCAGCGTTTCTCACGTGAACATCTTGGCTCCTGATATCACGTTTGTTACGTGTGTTTCGCACAAGACAGGATAAAATCTGCGATAGTCTCGAATTCAACTTATCTCTCCTCTAATATCTAGCGTCTAATGAGCAACTATATTTAGCGGCAGGTGAACACGAAGCAAAATTAAAAATAGAATCGCGCTTCTATTCTACGCGAACATATACTTATACAAGCTAATTCCTTAGCAATAACAAAGGAGACAACGGTAAATTACCGTTGATCGTAATTGGCACGTTTCTTCAACATAACATGGCAATTATAAATATAGAGATAAAACAGAGCTCGTTGACTTGTTGCGTTTGGTAATAAAAATGAAAAATGAGATATTTACTTATTATTATAGAACATATTAGGTCATAATTATAAATGTATTTAGTTAGTATAATGGCATCTTCATCGGTACACATAAATGAGTCGCCCTTCTGAGAATACATTTTCTAAGTACGATGACAGCATAATTATACCTATTGGAAATCTTATCATAAAAAAGTATCATGTCAGATAAAGCACGTGCAAATTCCCAGAAGCTTAACTCGATAATCTTTAAATACACTAAGAACAGGATATGTGAATTCAAGTTGATCTGTAAAATATATTCATAATGCTGTATGTAAAAATGTGTACAATATTTCATGACTGATTAGGTACTAATTAACATGTAACTCATTCATGTGTTAAAAAGTTCAAGCGACAAATGTCCTGTCATTGTTTCATGCTTCCGTCACCGTGAGTCATTCTAATTTATGCACATGCGATGTTAATGGATTTATCATCCGTTAAGTTTGAGCAAAGGGAGTCTAGATCAACGCTTCACCGGTCTTTGACAGGGATGGATTATACGATCGATATACGGGATTCCTTTTTAGATCATGACATCTACATAACCGGAAACAAGGAATTGTTTTAATATCCAGTTGTGAGTAAAGCGTTAGAAGAACAGATAATTCCTTCGATTTTATTTGTATTACTGTACGAATAAACGAGGGACGGTTAGCGAGCGAGATAACAACGCCAGACCCAGATTCAATAAGAAGATTGATTATAATTAGCATTAATTAAGAATTCGTGGTATTATAAGAGTTATCGACCCTCTGACCGAATTTGATGAGAAGAGTTTCTTGCCTGAGATCAAATTACAATTATTTGACTCGTTAAATAAAAGATTGTGTGAGCCAAACGATTTGCTAGAGATTTAAAGGGAATTTGTGAGAGAATGTGGTAGAAACGAGCCGAGAAACGCTCTTTAGAAGCGTCTAGTAGAGTCTAGAGAGAAGCGGTTCCGTTGGGATTCTAGGTCAGCGTCCCGGCCTCGAAACGGTCACGAGAACCCGCCCGTTTCCTCGGCCCTCGGCCTCGGTAGACCAAGAAACAAGGAAGAAAAGAGAGGAACATTGCTCGACCCCGTTACACGAAAATCCGTTATGCGACGGACTGACTGACGCCGACCAATCGACCGACCGACTGTCACAAGACTTCGTTTCCTTTTCGTTCCTTTCTTTTTATAAGTGAACTTCCATTTACACGTTGTCGGGCGGAAGTACAGTCAATGTTTGATTAAATTCTATTTTAGATAAAAATATCTTCAATGCTTTCTCTCATAAATTAATTAAGAACGATGACAGGTGCATGTCATTAGAAATTATATTATAATTGATATAAGTAGCAGCGAATGTTCAGTTGAAATAAACGAAGAACAATGAACAGGTCGCGCTGTTTATATGTACATACTATTTATCTCCTGGGAGATACTAAATGGAGTTCCACTGTACCACAGTAGCTACGTTCCTCGCGTCTCATCCCCATTCAACCTATTTCTCGTATATTAAATGGAGACGAAACATCGATATGAGAAAATAAGTGATGGTATGAATTTTTAATATCTTCACGTACAGTCAAAGAATATTTCTATTTATTTAAGAATATTTTTATTTCTTTTAAGAGTCGAAGAGTAATTATGGTAGAGCAACGTGACTTCAAAGGGAACAGATTTAATTAAATCGAAAGGATGGGTCGTATTCCCATATAAGAGAAAACTACAAGGGATAATGAATAGATAATAACCAAGGGAAACGAGCATGTATCGCGGGAACGAGGTTGTCGAAACATTATTTTTCATGTCCCGTTTCGTGCCGTTGAATTTGATAATATGCCGTAATGCACAGAGCTAGAAGTAATTTAATACCGACGAGCACTAAGCTAAATTAGACATTAAACTCTGCGGTGCCGTGCAACTGAGAATACCTCGCGGACGCAGTTATTTAAGAATGTACACTTTATAAAAGTGAATATTTCAAATCTGTAGATTTCGTCGAATATATTTAAGAGCTAAAAATAGTCGAATGGCATCAAAGTGATATCGAAAACGAATCAATTTGCATTTGAAATCGTCATGAATAATTCCGATACGTGAATAAAAATAAAAAAATAATACCTCTAGAATACGGACAGAATGTCTGAACAGGCTAAACATAATAGATAAATCGATGTATACTTCAGTTGATTTGAACTTCTTTTTCACCCTCTGTGTTCGAGTTTACTTTTCGAAACCTATTTCCCCCTAACGGTGTCTTCAAGCGATTTCCAACAAATTTCATCTCTCTCTTTCACCGACCGTCTCCTCACCGTCCTTTTCTTCCCTCCCATTATGTCGAGGATCGATACAAAGCGCGCGTCGCTGTAGCCATCGGTTTTCGAACATCCATTTGGCTGATCGCCAAGAAATATACGTCGCACGTAACTCCGGCACCATTAAACGCGTCTAGTAGCTTTAATTTATTTCATAAACTCGTTAGAAACTAGGTTTCTCCAAATATTTATTATCATATTATGCCGTGTTATATCATTGACGTATCACATTCTCTGTTACCGATGAATTCGTGTAAAAGGAAAGCTCTTCGAGGACTTCCTTCTGTTTCGAGCGTAAGAAATTTAATAAACACTACACGCATAGTAATTAACTTAGCGAAGTTTCGACTGCATCGAACCTTTACTTTCAAGCGTTTGTAACTTTCTCCAGGAAGCTGTAATTTCTAATAATCGATCAAAGAGGATGTTGAAAATTTCTGTATCGCGATGGAATACATATATTTGAATCCTGGTTAACGAAGAAATGATAGAACAATTTTATTTATAATGAATTTTCAATAAAATCTCGA